CAGAGACAAAAACTGACATGAAATCTGTCGGTTTACAGAACTGAATGCTGCTTTAAGGTCGAAAAATACAACTATGTCTGAGAGTTCGGAGGTATTTCCATTCTAAATAACGATAAGCGATCTAGACTAGCCAGACAGGACTTCTTCTAGTTCGCATACTCCACTTGAAATCTACGTCAATTTACCAGCTAAAACTGGACAAATATCCTCAAAGACCTCAGGAGTTAATGCACTAGAGGCTGTTTCAGATTAGTTATTTAAGAGTTAAGTTGGTGGTATAAATTGTGTATTACACACCAAGACTACTGTTTTCACTTTGACTGAACGAATTTCAGTCAAAGTATCACCAAGTTTTTTTCAGAAACAATTTTACATCTGCCATTTTATTGAGTACATTTATTTTTTTGTTACACCTTTGAATTTGACAGTCCGCTGTTTCACCTTTTCTGGTTATCAGCTTTCTTGTCTAATTTCTTTGAAGACCACTGACTGATGACTGAACAGTACAAAAGAAGCAATTACCAATACCATGGCTATCGAAACATGTGGAAAGTGGCATGCAGTGCAAAGGATGGTACCATAAGGTTTTCAAGAATCTAACACTTGCGGCTTCTAAACATTTAAGTAAAAATGGATACGTCTGGTTGTGTTAGCAATGGTGCATAGACGCAAATAATGTGCTAATTGAAGCTACAGCAATGGTAAACACTGCTCGAAGGTATAATAACAAGATGAATTTAATGATAAATAATGTGTTGACACACGAATCGATGTAAAACAATTCCGAATAGGCTCAATATCGATTAACTTACATATGCCAAAGGATGAACGACCCAATTAAATTAGTTTTGTCAGAAACTCAAGTAGGAGGTATCTTTTATCCCCATCATCCAAGTAACAGCAGCCAGAAAATGCTTAGGAAAACCAATCGTAAGACAAGATCTGTTTGTACCAGAAAAAATAACAACCTGAACACCCAAGTCATCAACAATCATCCAGTATTTTACAGTTGCGAATGCTACTTCAGTGAAAGCTGATGAATGGGTAAGAATTAAGAATATGAAACGACCAAGTACTAGTCTCCCCGTCAGTAGTTGAGAAATTGGACTTACCATAGTGACAGATCACTTTTCTTCCATAAAGTTAAAGAGAGGAAATGCTCAGAACCCAGAACTCGCGTTGAGCATGACACTGATATTGATAAAAGATCTACTCAACCAGGTTATATCTAAAGATATCTCTGAAGTCACTTTGCTGAATATTTGTAGATTAGGTAGCCGAACGGACTTGAAGGAAAACCAAACTAGTCTCCTAAAAGTGATATTTAAATCTTCCAATGAAAAATACTTAATATTACAGAATGGACATGAACTGAAGGGATCGGCAGATTCTTTGCCGTAAATGCTTGGCGCTTAAAGACTGAATAAAAAGAGAAGCTGAAAAGGAATTAGAACTAAGGTTATGTATTGGCGAGCATATTAGAATCGTAAATCTTTGAGTAGTGAGGCTTCGGCAGAGAATGATCCCGAAGCCAACTTGGGTGCAATACAAAGCCATTTAAATGGTCTTCGGATCTGTCCCAGTCCATGTCGTCTCATGGAATAGCAATGAAATACTAAAAAGCTACAAGAAAAGGAAATACTAAGCAACTTTATGAGACCAGTCAAGGACAAAGAAGGCAAGGCAGTAAGTGAAATTGAAGTACAGAAAAACAGGTAGGTAAAGCACCTTGAAGAACTCATGAATAGTTCAGTACACTGACCACACCGAACGTCGAAGCAGTACATACAGACCTTTCTAAAGGTATCACTCCACCAACAGCCCTAAAAAAAATCAAGAGTGGGAAAGCAGTAGGACCTGACAGTATGTCAGCTGAAGCACTGAAATCAGACGTAGAAGAAACTACAAAGATACTCCACGTTCTATTAAGGAAGATTTTGAAGGAGGAACAAGTGACGACGGACAGGAAAGAAGAATACTTCATCAATAAACCAAAGAAAGGAGATCCGAGCAAGTGTGAAAAATACAGGGGCACCAAACTAATATCGGTACCAGGAAGATTTTCCAACAGTGTTGTTGAACCGGATGAAAGTTTCAGTATACGCCGAACTTTGAGCTAGTGATACTACCCATTTGGCTAAACAGAAGTACACAGAGCAGAGTTCAAACCTGAAGCACAGGGGATAAAAGTCGAACGCCTTAACAAGTGAGATCGATGTTAAATGAAAAGGAGAAACTGACGTTAATTACAGCTCATAATTAAAAATAGTGATTGATGATCAAAAGATGTTTGGTCACTTTGTTACGGATGTACACTGACAGAATTCGGATATTAGTTTTTTTTGAAGAACTTTCCATTATGGTGATAAATTAGATGGTGTAAGATAACGATATAATTTCATTTCAAGTCACTACTTGTTCAATGTTCAAACAATCAAGAGCTGTATAGCATTAAAAAAATTATTTCTAAGGTTTCTGATTAGTAAGTACGTTGCAGACATTTTACTTATACATGTTATGTTTCCGTAAAGTACATAGTTGGACTAACAATATTGTCGTAATCAATAGCGAGAGGTTCATGATGGGTCTATTAGCCTTTAAACGAAATACAGGAAGTGGGAAAAACACTTGATAATTAAGCATGTACATGAGGATGCATTTTATACGTCTAAATGTGAACACTTTTAGAATAAGGTACTGATGCATTCTAGTTATGTTGTGAATGCTTAAAAGTTTTATAGAAAAAATTAGAAATGACTTCACAAAAATACTATATCTGGCCTCATTAATTATTAGCTTTATTAGGAAATAAAACAAGGGAAAAAATGATTCTTTGAATTAAGTCTTTCATTTAAACGAGAATGAATAGTCAATTACTCATTGCAAATAATTACTTTAATTAATCGTCTGTTTTTAGCTTTATTCACATCATGCACGACATTAATTGGGTAGATTGTTAGTGGACAGATAAAATTATGTTGACGATAACTTCATACGCTAATTTATCAAAGGATCGAGTATATGCATGCAAATCTAATCACTGTAATATTTTCGGTGGTCATGTACAGAAGTTTGATATACATTGGAAATATCATGTAAAACATTGTAACACTGGGAATACATTCAAAATTTACAAAAACTTGTTTTATATTCAACTAATTGAAAAGGAATCTTAAAATAATGTGACAATATACTAGAGATAGGGCAAAAAAACTAAAAATTAATAGCGAAATTTATTCCTAAGTAGGCAGTAATTAACAAATTACAATTTACATGTGAGAAATGACATATTTTTATCGGTTTATTTTACGTTAGGTTAGATAGGTAAACAGCAATTCTTTATGTAAAGTTTGAAGAAAACTGACGTATTCTTCTAAAATTATGATATCTGATTTTCGGTGAGCATATGTGATCACGATTACTGCAAGCCCCCAAGTGTTGTCGATAACACAGGACATTGTGTTAGCTTAAACTGACAGGGATTAGAATGCGTAAAACCGATTTCGTGATAATACTACGTTTTCGATTAAATTAGTCAATGAAAACAGATACTTTGTAAATACCTTTAACGCCTGGATGAAAATACTTAATTTGTTTAATAGAGCATATTGCTTAATTAGGAAAACAATGTTTAAATTAAATATAATACTTAATGAACCATTAAAATATATATTGGAACCTCATTATTATTCGTGGTCAGGTTATTAAGACTATCATAATAGATAAAAATCATTAGATAAATAGATAATAGGTAAGATGTAATTAACAAAACAGATCATACTAGTAATAATTAAACAACAGATGACGTTGTAGGTTAAAACCCATTTTTCATGATTGAATTAACCCTAATTACATTTGTTGAACTTGAATGATCGTTAAATAACAACAGTTCATTAACTCCTTCAATCCCATTTTACCATATTATAGTACGTACAACAGACGTAAAAATGATCTACACTTCTTAAGAAAGATATTATGGAGAATAGAGCAGTCAGGTAAAAATATTGTGGAAAATAATCATTCCACACTGAAAAATTTACTGAGCAACAATAACTGTTAAGTATTCATAACCTCTATTGTATCATGGGAGATAAGACAAACAGCACATGCAGTAAAGTTTACAGAACAATATAAACAGTATACAATGATGCACGAATGTTTGTTCCGTTATTATGTTAACTTCTGTAATGAAAAATATATTTTGTTGAAAACAAAAGTAGGCACGTCAAATGAACAGTTACAAACTAGGGATTTATAAACAACTACAAACGAAAGACAATACGTGTGAAACAGAAGATTTAACGTGCATCAACTTGTTCCTCATCTTTCATTGATAAGAAAAAAAGTTAAGTAACCTAACACCACCTAGCTTATGTTTACTCACTTTCAACAGAGCACTCTGCTTTGACAATGGTACTACATGCCAATAATTCTTAAAATAAAAGAAATCAAATTGGAAGCAAAGAAATAAAACTTCGTATTAGCGAAAACTAATCAGTTTTGTTCGTTCAATTCCAATTCAACAACCATTCATACAGACAAACCGATAGATTAAGTATAACGTCGGCCTATCCTGAACTTTGTAATCACTGATCAATATTATTTGGGTTACATAATCAATTTTTAATAAAACTATTAGTAACTACAGTCACATTTTGCCAACTTTGCATCGCTATTATTTTTTAGCATATGAGTCAATTTCAAGTATGCTTAATGCTATACTCTGTTTCTTCTTAATACTATGATTATTTGTCCTGTTTGGAGAATTCATGCTAAATTCACTGGTCAGAATTCATCAACTCATTGTTCTTAATCGGATTATTCTTTTTTAATTTAAGCTGCCTGCAACTAATGACAAACCTTGAAATAGAATTAATTAATTTTATTCTGCAAATCTTTGTTTGCGTTCAAATTGACAACTACAATCACTGACAATAATGGAATTAATATACATTAAAATGGAGATTTCAGAAGTTATACATATATATAATAGAACTAACTTTTTATATCAGCTGAGTCCTCCATTACTGCAGTAGAACTGTCAGATGATTCTTTAATACCATCATTAGACTTCTTAGTTACAGAAGTATGACTTCCTGGAACGGTACCCCGACCAGCTATAAAGAGTATAAATTAACAAAATACAAAGTAAAATTCTACGAAAAATACCTAATAATACAGTTGGAAGAAAACTAAATATTACAACATGGAAACTAGACCTGACAAAGTCTATTTTTGGATGTGATTAAACAAAGAGAAAACAGAAACTACGCAAAACTGCATACATGATAGACATTGATAACTGTTAAGTACTAGCTAGTGATGGGTAAGTTACGAAGATACTCATAGATAACAGTACACCGTACGAATGACACGAATTTTTATACGAAACAATGGTAAATAATTTAGAATTCAGTTAGTTTTCAAGCGAAAAAAAGACTCAGCTTTCCCGTTTTTGGAAAACCATTATCGACAAACTACATTTAAATGGAAAATATAATTAACAACACTGAACGTTTAACCTAGCGAGACTTGATCGTGAAAAACAGTTAGCGTATTTATTTTACAAATATTTCTGAAGGAGTTATCCAATAATATATATATATATATATATATATATATATAGTTCACGATTTTGTATGTACACTATGAAAGCACTTACGTAAACATCCATGCAACCAAAACTAACAAAAGTGCATATGAAAACAAATGCGTTGATATTGAAAAAAAACTTACAACTGTCATCCTTTTTCACTATAGATTCATATAAAAAACAGAGGCGAAACATGCAAAAACACAATAGAAAACAAATCAAATGAGACGTGATATTAATAAATCTGATTGTGGTAAATAAAACTACATGCAAATAACATTTTAATGAATTCAAACACCCAACAATACAAGTATACTTTAATAATGAATGCATAGAGACATGAAATGGATTCGAAGAGGTCAAAAATATATTATGAGACCAACATTTAGTTATCAGTATTCGAAAAGTGAACTTACTAGAAAAATTGCGTGTGGCTAGCATAGTCGTAAGTATAGCACCCTAAAAACGAAAAAAAAACAGAAAGCAGGAAACTGTTAAATGGGTAGATAACCATATTTGTTTAAAGCATGCACACACATAAATGTGCCAATTATGAACACTCTGAAAAACGATTAATAAGTTTTACCATTGAGTTCAATCAAATGTAGACAGTGAGGAATAAAACGCGTTGTAACTACTTATTAAGGAGAAAGTTTAGATGAAAAAGCTATTACTACACTTCAAATACAGATGGGTTAGTCAGTCAGTCAGTCAGCTACAACGTAGGACCAGGCACATATGTGCATCGGTCCAGGTTGCCATACCTCATTAGCACAGCAAGATGAACAGCGGATTCATAGGAGTGGTTAGGTCAAAGGTTGCAATAAGGATATAGTATAGGAAGAAAGAATTAGTTCGTAGACAGAAAGAATGAAGTGATTTTAGTCTCTTAGTTTAAAAGAAGACAGGGAGTGTATACACCGACGCCATTGTGATCGATTCTGAGCCATGTCACCAAGAGTCTCCAACCATTGGTTACGAAAGTCACGCGGACCCCAACCAAGTAGTCTGCATCTACCAACATGGCTCAGACTAGAAGTTAGTGACTTCAGGCACTGATGCCACGTTTTGGTTTGGCCGCCCCTAACTTTCTTCCAACCATCCCCTACCCCGGTTAGCATTGCACGTCGTGGTAATCGGTGTTCAGGCATACGTAATACGTGGCCCAACCATCTCAGTCGATGAAGATTCATAACCTCATCAACTGATTTACCATCATTTCCTAATACCCTGCGTCTAACCCACTATTACTTACCCGGTGATCCCAGCAGACACCAGCAATATTTCTAAGGCATCTGTGGTCAAATACTAGTAACTTACGGGTGTCTTCTACTCTTAAGGGCCATGTTTCGCTGCCGTAAATTAAAACAGAACGGACTGCCGCGCAGTATACTCGCCCTTTTATTGATAGACGGATATCTCGCCTTCGCCAAAGATGACGTAAGTTGGCAAAAGCCAAACGAGCTTTTCGAATCCGTGCTGAGATTTCGTCAGACACCAACCCATTAGGGCTAATCAGACTTCCAAGATAAGTGAAGTTGTCAACGCGTTCAACTACTTCACTCCCTATCCTTAGTTCAGGTGTTGACCCATACCCGTCCTGAAGCAACAACTTGCATTTAGAGGGAGAGAAGCGCATCCCAAACATTCTGGCATTGTTGCTTAGTGCTGCCAGAAGACTCTGCATTTTGTCAGCGTCTTCACCAAACAGGACTATGTCATCTGCGTATTCTAAGTCGATAAGTGGACCTCCTGGAAGGAGATCAATACCCGAGAATTCAGTCGACGAGAGTGTTATTTCCATCAGTAGATCTATGATGAAGTTAAACAGAAATGGGGAAAGTGGACAGCCTTGACGGACACCACTTGAGGTTGCAAAAGTAGATGACAGTTCGCCATAAGCCCTGACTCGACTAGTAGTGTTCGAGTAAAGAGCCTTCACAAGGTTTATGTACTTCTGAGGTACGCCTTTCAATGACAGACACTGCCACAGAGTCTCGCGGTCTACCGAGTCAAATGCTGCTTTTAAGTCGAGAAATACCACCATCGTCGGACGCCGATAGGTATGCCTGTGTTCTAGAATCTGACGAATGGTGAATATGTGGTCGATGCAGCCACGACCAGGTCTAAAGCCAGCTTTGTTCTCTCGAGTTTGTAGTTCACGAGTCTTAGTTAGGCGTTTGATAATTATCGAGGCCAGTATTTTAGATACTATGTTTGTTAAACTAATCCCTCTATGGTTGTCACAGGATGATTTTGACCCTTTCTTATATATTGGGACGATAAGTGATTGCGACCAGTCAGATGGGATAAAGTCTAATTCCCAGATCGTAGCTAAAATATTAGTCAACTTAATCGCTAAAATTGGACCACCATCCTTAAAGACCTCTGGAGCCAATCCATCTGGACCAGCTGCTCTTCCTCGTTTCAGATTAACTATAGTCTTTTGAACTTCAGCAAGAGTCGGGGGACCTACTTCAATGTTCCATTCACACTGTCTGGGAATGGAGGGTAGTTGTAGAGTAGCTGAAGGCCAGCTGAACTGTTCCCTAAAGTGTTCCGCCCATCGTTCTAAACGCCTGGACTTGGAGTAGATGAGTGTATCGTCTTTTTCCGATATAATCTCACTTACACTTGACTTATTAATTCCAGTTTCTTTTATTAGTCTGTAAAGCTGTCTTGTGTTCCCTATAGTCGCCGCCTTTTCCATCTCTTTTGCTTTCGATGCCCACCACTGCTCACGGTCGTTTCTTAGACTTTTTCTTAACCTAGATCTGATTTGTTTTCGCTCTTCATCATGTTCAGAACCTGATGGGACGAGTTTGCGAGAATCCATCAGTGTGACAGACCTTGAAGAAATCCACTGGTTCCTTACAACTCTGTGGTTTAAGTCACTAATAGATGTCACTGCTGTTTCCACAGCTGATTGTATGCCCTTCCAAGCAACATCTGGGTCAGCCTCGTCTTCACAACTACCTAAGCGTGACCTCAGTTGTTCCTGGAACCTACTTTTGGTTTTCTCGTTACTCAACTCACTTCTAACGGGTCTTTTTAATGTGGCTTTTTTGCGTCCAGTGAGGCGCAAGCAGATGCGTGCCCGTATTAGGGCATGGTCGGAGTCCTTCATCATCAATATCAAGTAATGATAATCTCTGTCCATATTGTTGTACATTATACAATGAAGAGAATGAAAAATCGTATGTGAAATTTCGTTTAGAAGGACATGAATGGAATATTCCAAAATTTGGTTACATTGTTCATTTGATAGATTTTACAATGTCTCGTTTAGAACAAGGTGAATTACTTTTATTTTTTTCTCAAAAGAAATGATAAAATTGTTGTGTTTTTATTTTTCCATGATTTGAGTTGTTCACATTTTCCGAATTCAGTTTGATGTGCGTTTCGTCCTATTTTGAACTCGTCAGCTGGATGTGTACCTGCATTCCAGAGTTGCTGCTTACTCCAGGACACAAACCCAGAACCTTTCACTGTTATCCACCATCTATATTTTCTTATAATTCTTGTGACTTAAGGTAATATCGAGGTAATCCGCACAGGATGAATATATACCAATAAGAGACTGATCAATTACAGTCGTAACCACCAATCGGAAAATTACTCAAAATGATGAGATATAATAAATATAGATAGTTATTCATCAAGTACATGCAATAAGCTCAGTAAATGATTATGGTGGTCGAACACTAGCCTTATAATTGAGGTCAGATGACTCTATGTAATATTACATCTAGTCAATTAAAAACTAGTTAAGAATATCTTGGTTTGAAGATTGAACATGACAAACAAGCAAAGCACTGACTGAACAAATACAATTACATTTCATTTTTTTATTCAAGATTTCGGTAATAAAAGTAATCAATAAGTCAGTATAAAATTTGATAACATGAAACTGCACACACTCAATATAAAGTGTCAGGTTTTGTTTAGACTATAAATACTATTACTTTATATAATGTATCTTTAAGCATTCTATGATAGGGTACCATCAAAAGAGGAGAAACAAACAAAAGTGGTGATAATCTAAGAATTCAATTATTATTGAATAAAGTAAAATAAATTTGAGCCATCGAATGCTTAAGAGAATCGTAGTATAGTTAAAAAATAGTAGTATTAAACTCATTTTAGTTCAGTAAATGAATTTGTGACAGCCATAACAAGAATACCTGATTGAGAGTCTAATAAATACCAAATTAATAGTTATATGCAACTAATCAGTACATTTATATATGCTGGTCACTCCACACAACACGGAGTATAGTTGCATAAAGCTTTTATGATGGGAATCTTCAACGAGCGTTTTTATTTGAAATATGACAGGAAAATATTTTCTTGTTAGGCAATAAGCATTCTTGAGGCAACGTAACATTTGATTTGACACATTCTATCTGACCACCAACTCTTGCTTAGATTCCTACGCGGCCCTTGAAATATACAGGTTTAGTAAGCCCAACCAATTATTTATGCCACTCAAATATCGTGGTAAATTAAGACACCTAGAGAAACGTTACTTCGAATCAAACGACTTTATAACAGTCGCAAAAATAACTAACTAACTAGTTTACGTAAATGATATTCGCGGTTGCTTCTGTATGGGCAAGCCTCTTCGATAATAAGGTGACCTTAAAGTGATGTATTCATTTTATCCTCATGAGCCGAGCAATATGCCAAGTCGCATCAGTATGGAGCTCAGCAAATTGGTCCAGTGATACTCAAAATGGCATTTGGAGCTTAACAAGACCAAGTTTGGATGTATATACTTTGGGAATACTTCACTAAACCTCGACATTACCATAAAAAGTAAGGTGTTATACATGTTACATGGAGTAGTGGATCTAGGACTCAGGTATTCATACAATTTGTCCTTCTCAGAACAGGTCTCGAAACAGACCTCCAAGTCCCGACGTCTTCTGGAAACTTAAATGTTTAGTCGTTATTACAAGCTGATGCTACTTTACATTCAAATCTGAATGACTGACCTATCGTAGTAAACATTACATTTGTTGTTCCGTGCTCTCTGCTTGTGTTTTATTTTCTAGTTGTAGATGATTACAATCAATTCGTTATAGGGCGGGATATGATTTTAAATACACCGTCCATACATCAATAGGTCTACCTAAAAAGAATTAAATGCTACCGGCTGAAGACTTTCATTGCTGAAATACATGTGAAAAATGTACTACCTAAACAATTTTTGAACTAGAAAACTTAAAACAATCTAATATTCCATATATCTTCTACATTTAATAGTACTATCTGTTATAATCTCTTGTTTTCTTACAGTTAATGACCCAGCTATTCCTATTGCTTAGTATTCTTGGACACCGATTCACTCGACAAGTCCCCAAATCAGAACACGGTTGAACAGGAAAGAGATTATATTCCAAATAGCAAGTCAGAAGCCGGTAGGAAGCACAATAGGGGAAAACGTCGGTATATTTATAGTTTTTACATAAGAAGATTCCAGAATACTCTCCAACTATCGACTAGTGCTGACTGGATAAGAATTAGCCAATCAGCGTGCACCAAAGCCATCATGCATTGAGCATGCTTTAATCTAGTCTATGTCCCGCTAACACTATCTATATCAAACTGATCATGCCTGTAAACTGGCATGAATTCTGTAATTATTATTTTTAGAATATATTATTATTTCGATAATGCAATGGAAATTGTTAACCAGTGAATTCACCCCAAAAAACACAGATGTCAACGGTTCGGGAACTATAAATGTGTAAACTTCCAGTGAAGTGCATATTGAGTAGTGCATGTGTGACGCTTATGCTCAATGAACACTATCCAGAGAAATGACGGATAGTTGTGTCCGGTTGGTGTATGTAGGTTTATCACGATTCCGTTGATACAACCAGTTGAACTACATTTATGCCCCCAGTGCACCACGCTTAAACAAATAAACATTTGGTCGAAATGAAGCAGCAACTCTTCGGTTATACTTATTAGATGGTTATCACATGCACGGAAATCCAAAAACAACTTTAAACTGGATAAAAAAATTGTATTAGAAATATCTCAGAGGTTATAACTCTGTACAGACATGAACAAGAACTTATGAGGCAGGTATATTCACAGTTTAAGTAGAGTACTATGCAATTAGATTTATAGAAAAAAACATACCTTCAATTTACGTCGTGCATTGAATTTCTTTAAGCACTCTACCGTCTCCTGACGATGCACAAGGGAAGCGACACGTTCTCGTTGCTATCAAGGAAAGAAATTAGAATTCGATAAGTTGGTTGACAGAGACGGGACGTAAAAGCAATATGAAGTAGTACTATACAAATCATCAGTGGGGTTAATGGGTTAATTAAAAATGATCTACTTATTATTGTCATCAGTGGCGAATTGTTATTCAGTACATTCGGAGATAAGTGGCAAACTTTTAGATAATCGGACTAGCAATTCCAGAATAATTCGCGAAGATGGGTTTTAAGATATGGTAGGAATCCAGTTATATATACTTTACTCATTACAAAAGATTGTTTGTTGGGTTCCATTTTAATTTAGCAAAGTTACTAACAAATAAGGCAGACCAAAAAAAGCTAAATTTAGGCATCAAGTTAGAGTATTACTATACCGTAACTTATTTGGTCGATTTATTCGTCATAAAAATTGAGAAAACTACACCGTGAATCTTTGTCTTCGCGTACTTGATGTACTCACCTAAAGAAACCAATTACCCAGACCTTTCTGAAATACATTCTTCATAGATTTGAAAGTCTTAAAAATGACGAGTCAATGGCCCAAGCTTTATATATATATATATATATATATATATAAATGTATCTTTAAGCATTCTATGATAGAGTACCATCAAAAAAGAAACAAACAAAAGTGGTGATAATCTAAGAATTCAATTATTAAAACACAACAATATATATGTAGGATAGTCAAATTTTTGAATACACCAAAGGCAACATATTCTGTGGTTAATAGGTGATGAGTTAGGAAAAACAACACAACCTTCTTGGGTTGTGTAAGTGTTAGTTCAACGGATTATTATTAACATGTTGTAAATTAAGAGTTTATATTAGTGTGAAATCGTATTGTTTTCAAAAATTCCTGTTAAGGCGTGCACGCGCGCGTAAAAGTTAAGAAAACAATGTATAAATATAGACGTAACCAGAGTAGAGAAGATTTGCGCTTAAAATGTGACAATCATGTGATGTACTTCAAAGTAAATAAATCAATTCTAACATTAATATTAAGAAAACTAATCATTAATAGTTTAGCGCCTTAGACAAAGTACAGCATATAACCATTCTCCAGTTGGTTTGTAAACACTTTTAAAACCGCTGATAGAAAGGTATAACATGTATGACACGTTCATATGAATGAATTTATTTATAAGGTTTGATGTTTGTGGCTTGGAGGTAATGCTACGCAAGCGAAGATATCCTAGTAAGGATTTTCAGAATATTATAAAAAGTCAAGTATAAGTACGATAGATAAGAATGTTGAGAAATAAGGTTACATTTGTGGGCTGATATATATATATATATATATATATATATACTATTATTTTGGAAAGACAATATAATTATGAGCTGATTGGATTACATGAAAGGGTGCAACAATGATAAACGAATCTAATACAATTCACAAGTACAAAACAATTGATTTGTAATTATTTATCAGTACAATTTATTAGCTAGTACGAATCTCATTGAGGATACTTAAACCTTGATGTGTTAGGTTTAATTTTTTCACAATTTACCAAGCCACTCAATGGACTTGAACAGGAATTTACTACCACACACGAACGAGTCATAGATGTGATCTAAATGTTTATTTAGCGCAAGTAAACAATCATTAGGAAATCTGAATTTTCTCGGATTATCGCGCTTTAGAATATACATTGTTTGAAAATACGAAAGTCTCGATGATTCAAATTCACTACGAGATAAGCAATTAATTAGCCAATTATTTATCTGAACACATAAATATTGGTAAAAAGGGTCACCGAATACACGTGCGCCACACAATTCACTTGATTTGTGTGTATGCTGTGGTACTGCCCTGGTGCCCAGGCCGAAACAGGTGGTTTTCCACTATATCGATAGTGGAGTATGTTAAATTTCTATGTATATTTAATTGAAAAACACAACGCGTGACTTAATAGTTTCAAACAGTTAACACTTAGTGTGCATATCACGTAAGTGTTGTTTACGGAATTGAGAGGACGAAAAGCGCTTTGGGAAACCCTGATTCCAAACCAATGGTGCACATCGACTCCAATATCCTGAGGGAACAAATGACGTATGAACCAATCGTTGGTCACCGGCTACCATGGGACTGTATCTCCTTACTATGCTCCACTGCTTTGTGGATCAGGACCTTTAGGTCGAAGACTCCCTAAGAAAACCACTTGCTTCGGTTTGGGCACCCGGGCAGTACCACAGCCTACACACAAATCAAGTGACTTGTGTGGCGCATATGTATTCGGTGACCCTTTGTACCAATATTTATGTGTACAAATAGATATTTAAGCCCATCGGTCTACTCCGAGTGACCATGAGCTCGACCACAAACGAAAACTATTACGTAATCAAATTGGGCCGAGAAGCCTGGTTGTCGGAGCGTGCCAATGAGTTATAGGCAGCAGCTGCTTCAGGTAATTGCTGGAAGCTCTTTCAACTCTTCCGAGCTACTGGCAGCAAGAGGTCTGGTGTGGGCGGAACAACCTGTGATGACTGGATGTCAGTCAATAACATCTATCGACGTCTTGAACGATGAGCAGCTCAACTGGTCTGCTGCCTCGGCAACATCGATTAGACTGATCTACCGTGGCCTGTGACGACCAATTCACCTAACAAGGCGGAAGTCCGTAAGGAACTTCAACTCCTGAAGCACCAAAAATTGCCAGGAGCACATGACCTATCTCCGGACCTTTTTAAAGATGGTGGCGACCTTCTGGTTAAGGAACTGACTACGTTGTTTACAAACGTTTGACATTTAGAATGTTCCAACATCATGGAATGAGACGATAATTATCTCTATCTTTATAAACGGTTCGTCTTTTCTATGACAAATATTGAGGAATAAGTCTACTATGAATGCGTTCAAACTTTTGGCTTCCATCATACTTCGTAGGTTGTTCAAAACCGGAGAAAGATTGACTCGCGGGGAGCAAACTGATTTTCGTTTTGGTCGAGGATTTATTGATCATATCTTCACCCTCCGCCAAAACGTTAGAACACCGTCATACGTATCACAGGCCAACAATTGTCATGTTTCTTGACATCAACGCCACCTTCGATTTGTTGGACAAGATTGTTCTCTGGGATAGTCTGTTGAATAAATGTGTGCCTGAGAAGTTTATTAACATCTTAAAAGCATTATATACAAACACTTCTCTCCATTGTTCCATCCAAGTAGTGGGGTTAGACAGGATTGCCTAATATCACCATTCCTCTTCAACTTTGCTATCGATGACATTCTGGAAACAGCTCTGATGGATGTAAGTAATGACGATGTGAATCTGTTGCCTGGAGAAAGATTTCTCGACCTTGAGTATGCGGATGGTATTATCTTACTGTGCAATAATGCCCAAGCCATGCGATCCGCACTTAATCAGTCGGCAATTAGTGTGCGTAGGTATGGTATGTGCTTTGAACCTTCCATATGCCAAGTATTTTTACAAGACTGACAGGAACCCGATCCTGCACTTCTTTAATTGGGAGAATTATTTCTGGTTGTACGTTTGCCAACTGAACTGCATTTCCCATTATCACTCCACTATCGTACACAAATTTCTGTTCGCTATTGTTCCCCTTTTTCTTATATGCACCTTACATTGTCTCTTCATATTCTTAATGTTATCACAGCCCAAACACAAATTAAGTGACTTGTGTGGCGCATATGTATTTAGTGCTCCTTTGTACCAATATTTATGTGTTCAAATTAATAAATAAATGAGATAGTGAACTTATAATCAATTTTTAAAGTTCAATTATAGACATTCCTCCTGGCTCATGGCAAGCCGCTGCTGTTCCATAAAACAGACTTATAAAATATTATACAAAAATGTGGCTTAGTTTAGTTTATATATCCTAAATCGCATGGAAAAAGTCTTGGTAAAACTACCAACTACGCCATTGTGATCGATTCTGAGCTATGTCACCCAGAGTCTCCAACTATTAGTTAATATAGTCGCGCGGACCCCAACCAAGTAGTCTGCATCTACCAATGTGGCTCAGACTAGAAGTTAGTGACTTCAAGGAGTAATGCCACGTTTTGGCTTGGCCTCCTCTGATTTTCTTCATACCATACCTAACAGTAGTCAGCATTGCTCGTCGTGGTAATCGGCGTTCAGGTATACATAACATTTAGTTCATCCATCTCAGTCGACGAAGATTCACAACTTCACCTAATACCCTGTATCTAACCTCACTATTACTTACCCGGTCATCCCAGACGTGAATAATATTTCTAAGACATCTGTAATCAAATACTATAGGAGTCTAGACATATATTCTTTAACGAGCGGCAGTCTTTTATCGGGCTTCTCCAACGATGACTGATAGCAACATGATCTATTTCAGTCCATTGTTTCAATCTTATTAGTAAAGTTAAACATTTTCCACAAATGTATATCATTCACTCATGTAGCGAGAAGATAAATAAGAATATAAATTCATATTAGTGGATTTGTTCTGAGTTTCCTATTTCTACATGTTAATAATAACTTGTTTGTAACTCATTCACCAGGTACTTGGGTATGAGTAACACTGAGTATGAGTGTTAATCATCCTATCCGGTTTTCCAAACAAAGTGGGACAGGGTTCGAACGTGGAAATTAGTGGTCGAAAGTTGAATGTCTTAATCAATAAGCCACTGATCCACTTCCAAGTTTCGTGTTAAAAGTGAAACCGACACCTACAGACTATTATACAAACAAAGACTAAGTATGAATATACATCACACAGATTAGTGAAAAATTCCATAAAAATCAATTGTTATAGAACAAAAATATGAGCAAGTGAATTCAATGTAATCAAAAGAAGGATAAAATCTCGTAAATAACTTTCTCTTTCCCATTCCTTTATCCACTTCACACTCCCTTAATTTTGTCCCAATCAAAACACTCGTATGTAAATAATATAGAAATAAGCAGAGGATAAAACAATCTAGTCGATATTGAGGTCATGGCCAAGCTTCCATTTAACAACAAAACCCATAGTAATAATAATAATAGAAACAATGACACTGATAATGATGAGCACAGGTTGAAGTGAATGGGCTATCGATCTGATGCAAGGAAAGTGATTGAATTATATCGAAATGTCATTACGGGTTTTATTGCTTTTTAACTGTTCCACATCAAAACAACATAAGTGTTCTTATCTGTTCGTAAATTCAACATACATGAAGATGAATGATGGTTGTTTTGGTATATACTAGAAAAACAAATACTAATTATAGAATTTTCTCTTGTCAAATAATGATGTGATGAAGAGGAGCTATGTGGACTGGGTGCAGAGTTTTGATCAAGTATATGATTAAACACCAAATTATTATCAGAGTTAAGTTAAAGAACAAAAATGTGATCATTTAAATTTAAATGGAAACTGTCGAATTAATCTAAAGAAAAAGAGGAAATAATTTACCAAAAACTTTAAACGAACTAGTATTTATAACGCGCTTGGTGTCAAAGCGAATGATCATGTTAGTTTTCGTAAACACACAGAAGCAAACAAAAGTACAGAATTTTATTACTCATAAAAATTATTATAGGAAAGTCATGAAACAGTTATATCATGGTATAAAAAAGCGAATAAACGTTCTTTCACTGAACCAAAAAACTGTATTCCATCTTCCAGTATAAATAAAAATAACATTAACTTGATAAACTTTATATTGAAGAATGACAGTATTAGTGTGGTAAATGATTGACTTTCAGTACAAACTAAGAATGATATTTTAGCGGTAGAAATTATCAAGAGGTCTGGATTGTTTTTAAATAGGATCAACTTTCAGAAACTCAGTAGCACGAAACAAATTAAATAATAAATATGATGAACAGTGGCTTTTCCTCAATGTACTACTCAGGATGACAGAGTAAATCTAAGTGGATTTTCGTGTAGTACAAATTATACAAATTCCAATCATAACAGTTGATGCATAGCCTTTATGTAAATGAATCTACTTGTTTCACAAAAGGGAAGCTTACAATCGTCTGCTGTGTTCTATCGTTAATAACTGTTAAGAAGTATCATGAAAGGACAGAGCAAATTGTTAAGTTTTGTGACCATTTCTGTACCTCCCTCGAGAACAGATGGGAAGACCATAAGCTAAAAAAGTCTATTATCAAAGTAATGATTTGTGCGAAGCAAAAGAAACTGAAACGAAAACTAAAATAATACGAAATCACGTGACACCAGAGATAGTGTTAAATTCCTTTTTTTAACGTAAGAGCATGTAATCCATTATTTAATGCCGAAAAGTAATGACATTTTAAAATATATGTTAATTGGAGCTTACATCTAAGGTCTGGAATGTGAAATTAATTAAAGATAAAAACGAGAGTGAAATCTTTGGTAAACAACAAGCGGCAAAGGACAATACATTTAAAATAAAACGATCAATGAAAGAAAAAGACTTTTCATCTACTTTATCGTCGTTCGCAAATACTATGACTAAGAAAGGGACAAATTACTCGATTAAGAAAGAAGTATTAGGTATTAATATCAGATAGCATTGTTTGACTACAAAGGATACATGGATATCCATAAGAAATACTTCAATACGGATACAATATAATGATTAGAAATAATATAATTGTATGCATATATTATGCAATAATGTGAAATGCAGAGCATATTTGTTCTAGTAATACGGCTATTTGAAGTGTTTATAGGAAAGCCTTTTGCATAAATATACTTAAACACAAACATATGTGATTCAGAATCTCTTGTGGTAGAAAACAGGTCCTCACTACTCTGAGAATTAATTACACAATTTAACTGGTTCACAGTTGGAGTGATTACCTCTAGTGAGATATAACAAAAAAAGAAGAATCTCAACACAGAGAAATATTATTTTAGAAATATACATTCACTAGAAAATCAGCGAAACTAAGTTTGAAATCGTTAACGTAAAGCCAGTGCATCCAAAATGAAATCGCTTAGTACCAAGACAATTTGATGGGAATAATAATTAAAGTGTGTGAAATTGGATCTGCGCACGATGTATTGGCGGAAAACGTTTGCATAGTATGATTTTAGCTTCCGAAACATGCATACTAACGGTTAGTACTGTTGGATCTACACTCAAACATCTATTGAAATGTAGGAACTCAGGAAATTTTCATAAGTAGGAAGAAAGTTACCTAGACAAGTTTCGTGAGGATCTTGTGTGAATGATGAAAATTAAACATTAACGTTTTTAGAATTTTTATTAATTATTTCATGGTATGAAAATTCCTTACGGTGAATTTACATAAATAAACAGTTGTCTATATGTATCAGATATAACGTCATAGTCACTATGATATTAAATACAAATAAGCAGTGAATCTTACTAAATGATTGCAAGCTAAGATAGTAGTACGCAGGTACCATTGAAAACTATTGATTACAATGAGCTGATTTACTGCCCTTGTTATAATACATTAAGGTTTTAAGACTAAACAAGAACCAAATACAAAAACAAACAATTCAAATTCTACTAAACATCTGTTTTCATAACGTACACAAATCCATGGATGTTTGAGGGCTTCTGCAGCTGTGATTCGCCTTGCAGGACTGACTGTTAGCATTAGGTTGATTAAGTTCTTAGCTTCAGGGGTAACTGTATCCCATTCTGGTGAAGGATACTGAAAAAATACAAAGAGATTGAAGGACAAAAAACAATTTTATAAACAAAACATTTTTATGAAATAAAAATTAGAAAACAGGAAAACCACATCTACTTACAGAATGGGATATTGAGATTTTCAAGGAAACTACTAGTGCTTAATGTGAATCTATATTTTACAGATAAGATTGTCGTTTGTAGGATTAAAAAGGGGAGGTAAACAGCATGGGGTGAGGTAAGGTAGAGTATTTTCAATATACACCATGGGAAATTACTCAAACTATTTCTTTCAATAGAAAGTAACACCATCTAAAAATCGTGAAAAACCAATATCTATAAATAAGCGGTGATTAACAACATTTTGTATGATCCTTACAAATAGTACGAAATTAGACATAAACCGATTATTAGTATACTGATCAGCAGTGAAATCTAGGATGTGCACTTCGTTTAAAAAGATGCAAGTTCTTCGTTAAAATAAATACCTGGCTTCCAATATTTTTCTCAGTTTGAAGAACAATATTGTTTTTATCCATAAAGATAGCGAAGGAACTCCCAAGAAGGCATTTTGTCTTGATATCAGTTGGGGTGACACGAATACATTAGTTTATCATATTCTTCTAGATCTTCGGTTTTAATACTGTCCTATGCTTCTTATCATTGGATTTCATTCATCCTTTTCAATGTCCTCTATGTTTGAACTTTCACTATCACTGTTACTGTAACTATTTGGGCTTTTTGTTATTTTCATTTCGAAAGCTTTTTTAGCTGTGTTGATGTGGGACGGATGACTCATGAACTAATGTGAGCGGTGACCCGGGTGTTCGAGATCAGGCTAATCACCCACTCGACCGATACCCTCAAATCGATTACGAACCCCACAAAGAAACACAGCACAATTACTCTTGGATAGAAAAACGACGAAAAATTGGCAAAACTGGTGCATGTAATGTACGGGGTCGCTCCACACGGGGCAAACTCCAACTGGTTGCAAAAACAGCTATTCTAGCCCCGGTAGTTGTACCGTGCTTTGATGTGACCTGTTTCTCGCCAGAAGGGCCTACTAGGCTTCACCAGCCAACTTGTTTTTTTATGTGAAGTGTAAGAACTTCGACAGACATACATTTGTGTCAGGTACTATTTAGAGGCAATATTCATAACATTTAGTGATTAGTAACAGAAAATTGTTATAGTACAATGAGTTATTCACGTCTCTTGATAATACGTATATAATCCATTATTTTAACACAAAATAACAATTGGCTTCTACCAACATTTCAAACATGATTTTAGCCAAATGTAGCTACCTTTCTCACTTTTTTAGACCAAATAATCATTCTCCTATATTTTTTAATTAAGCATCTGTCAAGAAATAAGCATCATAACTCATTCAAACTCAAAAACCGTAATTCTAATGAAGATTTTAATAGTAAATCAAGGTACAATATAGACTAAATTACATGTAATATTTACCTAATTAGTCGTCACATGGTGCAGAGATAGGAACCAAAAAAATAATAAAATTGATAAAAAGTAATATATTTTTATTTTACGTACATCATATGCTCCCGATTTGATTTGACTGTACAATCGATTCTGATCTTCATCCCAGAATGGTGGATATCCAACAAGAAGGATGTAAAGAATAACACCTGGGGATTGAAAACATTACGAATTTAAGAGAGTACTTTTTAAGTGAGCAGAGGTGCTTGATAATCCTTTTTTCAATTAACAGAAACAAGGTAAATTGGGATCATATATATTCAGTGATTTGTTTGTTAAAACATAAAACTGACTCGGCAGGAATAATAAAAATACATACTTGGTTCGACAAAATTTTTAGCGTAAAAAATTGAATAAAAATGATTTTATAATCATAATCTGTGGGTAAGTGATTTTAATTGCGAGTATTACATTAATCGTCCATAAAATATTAGCATTTCACTAGAAACTGAGAATCGAAATAAGACTGATGACTCAATAGAAAGGAAACGTGAGGTAACTGGATTTTTCTAAGTAACACTATATACTACGGTTGTTTTATGGACTGGCAGAGCTATTTTCATACAAAAACAATACGATGATGCTTACTAACCGGAAGACCGACTAAGAATTTACAAGAATTCGGTTGTTTGCACCTTAAGCTTATTTATCACTATCCCTAAAACTTTTGAATGTTCGGGTGAGATCCGGTATGTTAATGATAAGCGATATAAGCTAGGACAGGAAGTCAGAAATGTTGTGCCAGAACAACGCTAAGTGCAAGCTATTCCTTAAATAATTGTAAAAACAGGTTACGCGTCTTGATGTAACGAGATATAAATCAGTTAGAAAATAGATAAACAAATACGTTTACAAGAATACATAAGATAACTGTGAATAATTACTTCGTACACATATATCTGACTACAGGAAATAATTCGGCTCCAGGATTTTAAGTTACAGAAGATTCTACTAATCAAACAGCAGTTTAGAATATTCCATAACTGATATACGATTTAAAACTGTTCAGGAGACAACAACGAAACATCAAAATAATAAAAAATTGTTAACATTTCCAAACATTTCTGGGAAAACATGAAATTTCTATTACACGTTGAAAAGAGAAACTGCAGGGTGTATATTTTGTGATGAGATTACTGTGTAGTGAATACTCCAAATAGCAAATCATAAATACCAGAAAAAAGAAAATATATGGAAAACCATAATAGCTTACCGCAAGCCCAGACGTCTACCGCTTTACCATATGGTTCTTTACGCAAAACCTCTGGAGAAAGATAACCAGGAGTGCCAGCAAAACCTATAACACGGAAAGTGGCACCAAATGTTTTAATTAATAAGACAGAAAAATATGAGTGGTGTTTGCTTTTAAAGCGTCGAAAACACTTCATAGTGGTCTATCATGCATTTTCTTCATTAACACCTCATTTAATTGTACGAGAACAGGAGGAATTAATTACTGATAAATGTAGGTGAATAATATCGACATTTCTCGAAATGATGCTGATAATTTATCACAGGAATAGTCGGAAATATTCTAAAAAAAGTAAAATGGCAGGAAGGGATGTGGCGTGGAAGTTATGGACAAGAATTAAGTGATGAATTATTTTCTTCTAATCCAGTAAAAATACTGTGAAGATTTGAATTGTTTCAAGCCTGGTGTTTCCAGAACAATGTTTTTTTAGTTGATGGTAATACAATTCTTAATTCTTTTTGCTTTCGTAGATGAATCTGAGCTTTATGTTGATAAATGGTTAATTTCTTTAGGATTACTGCAGTTCGACAAGTATACAATTTTTCAATATGGCAGGACAGATGGTGGGTTGTTATCTTGGTTTAAAACTAATAAACAAAGTGTGATAACATTCTAAACAATAATAAAATCATAGCAATAAGAAATGCTGATTAACGTTAGCATACAAAACACCAAATAATAGGAAATGTGGCATAAGATTTTCTTGGTATTAAGTCTTTAACAGATAAGATAAACTTTATGATGGCGTTAACAGTTGTAGTGACCGTGTCTACTTGACGAGTAATTTTGTCAGGGAAAGATATTACCATTCATTTGGAAAGCAGGCAAACATAGTTTTCCAGAAAATAATTATCTTTAACACTTTTAGGTTAAGATGGCAAGAGAAAAACCAAATAAGGCACTGTAAACTGAAACACTGAATAAATTTTAATCCAACTACGTATGTATACTTAGATCTTAGTGAACGACTTAGTGATGATTTGGCTATGAAAACTGATTTAGGTGCAGAGAAGTCCGAACCTACAACTCATTGGTTGAGAGTTAGGTGTTTTGACTTCTAGATAATCACATTCAAACAGATAAGGTGAGAAAATACTTAGTTGAGACTAATGTAGCAACCATACATAAGATTTAAATACACGTTTCTACTTTCCATTTCATATCTGCATATTTTCAAGCACAGATCATTGCTCTCACACTGTTTTAAATAAACACTGGACGTCATACGTATATGTATTAATTTATATTCACTAAGTCGTTGTTCTATTAATTTCTTCCTCTCCTGCCATATTCGCGACAACTGAAATTGCTTTTGTAACGTTACTTATAAAAGGTTCCGTTCACAAATTGCTGACGAGAACTTTCTCGCGAATTGAGTGATAACTATATCGATAGTTCGATGTTACACATCAGACCAGTTGAGTTCCTGAATATGAGGTATGTTCATCAGGTCATGTAAGGTAAAGATGGAAAAGAGTTATGTAAATACACAACCATATTTTACACCAGTTAATAAAAGTGAATGATGACTAGTTGTATATCTGCACCAAATATACCTGAGAAGTATGTAAAAGTAACTTTCAAAAACGTTTTCCAACTGGTCCAAGAATACAACTCCACCTAGGGAAACAATTGTGCCCTTACTTCGGGAAACACCAGAATATTATGGGACTTTTAGCCATAGTTATGATTTAGAAATGCAAATGGTAACGACTTGGTTGGCACACGAATAATCCAAAAAAGAAAGTAGGCGTGATGTTTCCTGGATTTGACTCAACCTGAGCAGTAGTACGATAGAGATCAGAAGCCTGAATTCAACAAGCATAAAACACATGAAATCATTTATTGTACCTAACAACTACGATTTTGGATATTACAGTATGCTGTAAATGACAGTAGTACTATTTATCTATGAGTCTTAAATGTTTTACTAATTCTTTAATCTTGATATGTAACTGAGGTGTTTTTCCCGGGTATATTTTTCGAAGTCACTAGTCAGATTTCCTGATTTCTATATGAATACTTTCCAACACTCACTATTATCTGTACAGTCACACTGAATAGTCGTTTGATTTATAAGTTGCCCAGGGTAACTGAATGAAGAGCTTATCTGATTGATGTCAATTCATACTTTAAGAAGACTTTTTAAAACATTTTTAGTTTTCCATATAAAAAGGAAAAAAAGAATCGAATTTTGAAGTGACATTTGAGTACCAAGCCATATGTGTAACATAAAATGAGGTAATTGATGGCTTTTATTCAAATACTTCGTATGAAAAGTTTTTATGGGTGTGAACCGTGTGCTAGTGCAGTGTCGTTGAAATGTAGCCACAGTGTATATTTACTTGAAAAAAAAGTTGTTGTCTTTCCTAAGAACACAAATGAATCTGTGAATTTGTTGAATTTCCTTGCATTTCAGTAACAAAAATTGCATATATGATACTGTTGTCACTAGAGATGTGACAAAAATAACTGTGTAGTTAGGTTCCACTCGAACCATCCACCGATTTCACTACGAGTTTCATAAAAATCCGTGAAAACTCACCTTTTGAGATCTGCTGATCCTTTATTTTTCATAAGGTTATCTAAAATATCGATTAACTAATATCCTTATAGTCAGTATGTAAAGGGATTAGACGGTCAACGGTGTATAGAGGATACTTACACTTATTAGGGAAGTTAGTCAGCTACAACATAGGACCAAGCACATATATGCATCGGTCCAAGTTGCCACAGCTCATTAGCAAAACAAGATGAACACCAGATTCATAGAAGCAGTTACTACAATGGTAGTAAAAAAACATTTCATACAAGGGTATAATACAAGGAGAAAGAATTAGTTCGTAGAAAGAAAGGTATAAAGTTATTTCAATCCCACAGTTTAGGGGAAGACAAAGAGTGTATACACCTACACTACTGTAACCGATTCTGTCTCATGTCACCTAGGGTCTTCAGCCTCAACCAAGTTGTCTGCATCTAGAGGTTTTAAAAAATTTCGTACCGTCAATGGAGATCCACTGGTTCGTCGAATCTATCAAATCAGATATTTCTAAGTGGGCAGTAGTTGAGTAGTACTAGTATTTAACTAATTAAATCATATATTTAAGAGAAAACGATAGGTAATTAACAGTTAGGGAGAAAAAAATTCTAACTAGACATGAAAATAAGAAGGTAAGGATCAGTGATCACTGTCGGATCAAAAGCAAAGGCCAACTCCATCAGTGAATTATTAATAGATTTATCACATATACTCTTGAATAACGACTCATCGTCTATAAAGCATCGAGACGAATGTAGGAAAAGGCAAAAGAAAGAATTCCTCCATATAACAAATAGAAAAGCTACTCTGAGGTAGATCCCTCGTTGTTTTCAAGTTTATCATACAATTTACAATATTTATTTCAAAATACTAAATTTTAGAAAGCAAATAAGGCTAAGGTGGAAATTTATTTGTCTATCTTATAGCGAAATGCTAACTTTGTGATGTAAAATAAATGAAAGCAAGAAAAATATTTAACATACTAAACAGAAACGACAAACCGACTCAGTTTACTGTAAGGCATGGATAAAACTAATCATAACAATACTATCTGCAGCATTGATATGTCTCCATCCACTTAAAAAATGAAATAAAAACCGTTTATTCAATCACTTGAGTTGGATAATCGGTTCTCTTACTAAACATTAATTTTAAAAATATGAATTGAAATTTGGTTACTGTTAATGTATTTGCGTGAACTGAAGGAAAAATATGTCTTTTTGTAATGAAATACATAAGCATATTGGTTGAAAAATTTGACAAATGTATGTGTTTAGGAAAAACGTACCAAACCAAGCTGGTTGATCACCCTGAACTTCTATCGCCAGACCGAAATCCGCTAGTTTCACTGCAGCCCCCTTGGATTTACTAGCAAGCAACAAATTTTCTGGCTGTAAAACAAATTCAATTTTATGAAAAACCCACATGTGTTTGTTAAGTACAGGACAGCTGAAAGATTACTTAACAATGATTTACTGCTATCAGTTGCAACATATCTAATAAACGTTTTCAGTGGAACCTGTTGATGTTGTTACATACGTGCTAAAATGTCTTTCTACTATTAAAAAATGAACTTGGTTACAAGGCAAGGTGTTTTGAAGGTTACTTTTAAATTATTCAAAGAGTCCATTAAAACGTTCTAACGACGTGGACAACAGAGTAAAACCTTTTCATGTTCTCTTATCTTCATTCCACTAAATGCTGTTGTCCGTGTATTGCTTTGTTTATTATTTAAGTCAGTTAAACTCAAGAGCATTAATCACAAACACAATAATTACACACATAGAAATAGTTTTTTTGAACCTAGTGAGTCTCTTAAATATATGCATATAAATTAGAGGATGATAATAGTGATACAGATATCATAATTTGTTAGGATTGTGAAGCGGGGGAGGGATATCAGGTAGATGTTTCACTGCACTCATAACACAAAGAATAAATGATTAGAAAGTAATGTAAACGAAACCGAAAATCCGGCGAGATTATCACTTATGAACGCACCAATCAAATGTAGGATAACAAGTATTGGGTTTTGGCGTGAACTCCATTCATCTATTCGATTAAATAGCATTTTAGCATGTTAGCTGATGTCAGTTCGTGATGAAAACCGTAAATCGAATTCCTAACCCTAACTATCCACTGTAAATCATAATTCTAATTTTTACACTGCTTTATAATCATCATTTATTTCTAGTAGGTGGACATTCTCAAGGTCACTTTAGAATCATTCAAAAGTCGTCCATAAAATTTATTCTCACCGAAAACCCTTTGACAGATTACTTGGGATTTCGAATAAGATATGTTTGAGTTTATCTACCAAGTAAATATTAATATATATATATATATATATATATATATATATATATATATATATATATATATGCTACTCAGAATATAGAACAAAAACGTAATAACAAAATTATCTGCTGTCATCCTGCGAACAAAAGATTAGCAAAACATGTCTCTTAGAGACTTTTGGACAATATATATTTTGTTAGGACCGGGTAGTAAAATTGTGACTGAATAGTGTGATTAGGAAAATATTCATCATAAAATTTCACATAAAACATGGCAAAATGTAATTATAATCATTTAAGATAAAAAATCATGACAAAAAATAAGTATAGACACCACCATAAAATAACACACTAAAACTTTTGATGGGCAATTTAGAGATCAAGTAGAAGTTTATTGAGTCAAAGGGAATGAATGCTTTTAAGAATATCGATGTCCACAACACGTAACATAAGATCCGAAATCCAAGTAAATGTGGAACACGCGTGACTAATGATAATGAATGCTGAGTACAGTGATACACTGCGAAAACGTTACTACTAACCTTTAAATCTCGATGTACTATATTATTCTGATGACAATAATTCACACTTTCAATAATTTGCTGCATACAGTTACTGGAGGAAAAATAAGAAAGCGAGTCTTGGTTATTCGCAAGATTTAAAATTACGGTAATAATAACGATAACAAAGTCAACAGAAGCTAAATGAAATTTATAAACTACGGTTTGTGCTGATGATGTCGTTCAGAAGAACGATGAAAGCTCCACGACCAAACCATCCAGCTCAGAGAACAAAACTCCATCAAAATCATCCACCTGAGCTACAAATCTTCTCCACCATCTCATAAACTACGGTCTTATGCCTACATTTGAATCAATCTAGTAAACCAACAGTAATAGTATGGGAAACAAAAACAGTTAAGGGGAATAACATATGCAAAAAGATACCTCTAAATTCACTACGTATTCATTTCAGTAAACACTAAAGAGACTAACCTAGCATCCGCTTCACTGTAGAATTCTCGAGCAACAATGTCCTCGAAGAGTTCACCACCAGTTACCCTAAAAAGATTAATTTTAATACAATCATATGATGAAAACAACATATAATTTAGAGTATTAATAGGGTTATTATTATAGTGTAAATTTGATTAGTAGTGCCAGCAGTCAACTCCTAGGTTGTGAGTCTGAGCCTTGTCTTGTCTACACCGGTTTGAGCAGTCGGATGAGATCACTGGCTTTCTCACATACGCGAACAAAATCTTAAAGCTTAGTAGACGAAAAAGTACTTGATTATTGAACTGCAGCGACACAAAAATATATGAAGGGAATACAATTCATCCAGTTTCAAACAGTAAATTTTTAGCTTTGAAATAATTTAAAACGTAAGAATTCACAGCATCGGCTCATTCAGTAAATAAACTATATACAGAACACAGGTGTGAAATATGAGCGTGGAAGTGGGAAGTTGGAGTATTTATGATAATACGTTGAGAAATCCGGTCATAAATGTGGGATCAAAACACGTCCGCTAGGATCGGTACACAAGAATTGTGATAGATGAGAACATAAGATACAATTTGGCACTCAGTAATAATTAGTAAATGCACTTTTTCATTTTTTATTAATTCTTATCCATGCTGTGAAATTATTCCTGAGACAGCAAATATAAAGAGCCCACGTTTTGGATATCCTTGTGATTTCATTACTCTGCCAGCTTTAGTCTATACAAAAAATACTGACATAGGTCTGGCTACTTTGAATGCATCTACCGTTTGTCTTTATGTGCAGAGAAGTGATAAGTACGAATGATTATTGTATGAGTTTAACTGTGTGAGCGTTACATATGGATAACAAGTCTGGTGTTAGTCTATTAACGGAGCACGAATGCCACAAACAACAATTATTATCCAAACACAAAATCCCTAATTTTTCACTCTTTCCACTATGACATGGGCAAACTTCAACTAACAGTTAGCTGTCAGGATGTCACTTCCATCGAAAAGAACAAACATAGTTCACTGACTTTACGAACGTCACTGATTCTAAGCTAACTCAGAAGATATTCTGTATACATACGTGCGCTACATTTCGAATAATAACATGCGACACATGAGATGTTAGTAATAGTAGTCTATTTGTTACAAGATCACTACCGATTTCCTTTGTGAGGAGATACAGCAAATATTAGTTACTTCTTGGAAGCTATATCAATCCACTCGCTAAAATGGTTGGATCCATGATCACTCGTGACTTCAAACTTACTCTAATCCTTATTGCGTAATGAACTTGGGGGGGCAGCTGTTTACTGTTAATCAAATGAAAATTATTGTCAATATGAATTGGGTTGTCACTGATTAAGTGTCTGTGAGGATTGTTATGCTAAAGAACGTCAAACTGAGAATTCCAAAAACTCAAGTAAAGGAACTAAAACAGAGACTCCATGGGCAGCTACATCTTGTAAACACAAAAGTCGTTCTTCCATACCTTCACGTTATGCGTCAAGGTAGCAGGAAATCAGATGCTCAACATGTCTTCTTGATGCATATATATATATATATATATATATATATATATAAACATAAAAATCACTTGTTTTCCGGATCACATTTAATACTAGTAACCAATTTGAAGATACAAAACTCACAAATCAAATACGAGGTAGTGAAACCCTTCGTCCTGAATGTCATCATATAGGCGAACTAAAAAAATGAAGAATGGTTATAAAATACCAACCCAAGAGATAGATAGGAAGTACACGTACACACATGATAAATAGGGATGTGGTTTTGTGGTAAAACCATGTTAATTTCAACCAATAACTTGTAGCTTTAGACTAGAACTTTGCCTGTCTCACTTTAGGAAGCAATTTAGCATCAATAGCTCTTACACAAAACGTATGGCTAAAAGTCATACTTTGAGAATGAGTTACATATGTTTATCCTTTGACATTGAGCGTTCTAAACTACAAATGCCAATAATGAAGTTGAGTAATGCACTCGTCATTCGGTAATTTAGAAGTGATAAAGTCTGAAATGCTATTCCATCCAACCGAGAATGATGGTTACTTGCTGTCAGTACCCCCTCTTTCTTATCTAATACTGACATCGTTCACAGGTTGACCAAATACGTAGTCGGGTGAACTGATTATTTGCCAGTAGTTCTGAGGAGTCAGTGACTGACAAGTTTCCCTAAGGATTAAAATCACTCTGTTCAGTTTTTTTTGATTGAACCAACAGATAATGGGGCAATACGTGGGTATATACAAAAGAGCGAATCTGGAACTTGATAGTCCATTAAACATCATCTTAGGACTATTAAATGGTTGCCGAAAACGAATGACATTCTAGAAGTATTTTCGAAGCATTTTTTATGTGTGTTTGAGCTATCAAGTAAATGATGTTGATGCTAGATGTAGTGTTTTGCACAAGTGAAGTAGGTCGAGTGATAAAGCTGTGAACCTCCAACAATTAGGACGTGTGACGTAGACCTAATCACGACCTATCTTAACCAAGTCGACTAGAGGGTATGCTAGAAGAGGTTAACGTGACCAACTCAAAACATGGAATTAGATCATAGATATATTTCTCCTAAACCTGCGGTGTACAGGTGGATGTAGCCTTCTTTGTTATAGTTCAAGAAACGATCATTATAGGTGGCTCGAAACTAGGTGGTATGATTTGAAGCTGATTACGGTGGTAAGGAGATCTACAACATATCTCCGCCTTTTTTGTCTTGAACAATTTGTCTTTTATGTACTTTACCTTCTTATTTTACGACCGTTGTTAGCACACTTATTTCCATATCTTGCCTCAACCTGTTGAACTTTCTTGGATTGATGGCGTGAACTGAGATAACACGTTAGGACCAGCTCCTAGTTTGTCAGCCACTGAACTATTTGGTATCCAATTAACAAAGACCACTCAAACTCCCAGAAGCTACGACTTGAAGTGCTGATAGAAAATCCCCAGTGAGCGATGATTATTTGTAGCACTATAAAGAGGAAGATAGGCTGAACAATAAGACCCTAACGAACATTTGACTTGAAAATCCCTTTGTTTCTAGCCTTCTAAAAAATGCATGTCTGTGGTTGAGCTTTTTCTAGATTTCATTTACTTAAAATAGGTCAGCGACAGATTACTTTAGGTGATAATATGGAACGGTTCGGATAGATTGACCACTGTAGCTAGATTATATTTCTTAATCTTGTTTTATTTCGACAGCTAGTAAGATGCTTGGTCATGTGATAACATGTTTAAGAAAGCACGACGATCGTAAGCAGCGTTATTGTCTTTTCGTACTGAGTTCGAAGACAAATTAGTAGTTTGGAAAGTTTTAGTGATAGTGACGCTTCTATACTTTATACTTCATTGATATTAATGAGTCATAGATTTTTGACTTACACAAACTTAGTGGAAAACCATCATAACCATAATTTCAGGAAGCAATTACGAATCTGAGATATTGGACGAGAACTTGGTCCATCAATAAGTATTTCACTTATTTGAAGGACATAGAAGTAAAAGTAGAAGCACAACACATTTTGTTTCACAAATTGTTTGCATACTTATTTATTTGAACAGATAATTATTGTTACAAAGGGGCAGCGAATACATATGCGCCTCACAATCCCCTTGATTTGTGTGCGGGCTATGATACTGCTCGGGTGCCGAACTTAGCATACTTAAACACTGAAAGGACGGACAGAAGTACTGGATTTATCTAAGGAATACATTCAAATAGTGAACTAGTATAACAAGCTGTAAAATGAGAATATCGGACTCGAAGACTTCGATCGAAACTACCGGTTTTGATGGAACCCTATGAAACTATTATTTCTTAAAATATTAGAGAACATGCAAACACGCTTACTCTAAGTGACATTTTCGAGAAGCCAACATAGCTTTTAAGCAAAAGATAGGTAACACTTACCTATGTTAGGGTGCTTCAGGAGCCTGCATATTCTGGCCTCGCGTTCCAACTTCTGCATGTCTGCAAACAAGATGTTGCTGTAGGTTATTTGTATGTTAAAACAAGTACGTAGGATGCTTATGAAAACATGATACAATTTGATGAAATTAGGTATACAAAAATTACGCTTGCAAAACGCCAAGCCACTTGGATGAGTATTTTGCGTCATTGGTCAAATAACCTAGGTCAAAAGTGTGTATGATCTTAAAGCACATTAATAGGTTCATCCTCAACATGAATTTAAGCAAAAACTTGACAATTATGAGATGGAGTTCTTAGCAAATAGGCTAGTATTTCGGTAGTCTCTAGAAGAAAAATAATGATATTTAGGGGAACTAACGTTAGGGTCAGGATGGCTTATATATGTCAAGCGATTTACTGTCTGACAACCTAAACTAAGATCACTTATCTATACCAGACATTGAAGCCGATGTAACAAGTTGCGTCACAACTTAGATCTCAAGTTCCCGAACCTCCTAGAAATTCCTCTTTAACTGATTCATATTTTCCAAAATCGTATCTTAGATGCCTAGTCTTTTTTGTCCCCACCAGTAATCATTACCCTTACCATTCTAGAGATTCACCCTATTTCATCTTCCTATGATAACCGAGTATGACAAGTCGGAATAATGTACTCATGTGCCTGGTTTCACGTTGCATCTAGCCCACCGACTGGTAGTACTTAGAGTCACTATGAAAATTGGTTGGTGCAGCATGGGCAAAACCGAACATCACATAGCAAGGATAGGCAAGACCTAAATTAACTGTCATTCAAGATAACAGCTGCGGGACTACTTAGAACACAAGTTTCGGGCATTTACTGTAAATGACTTGTATTCCTAAGCATTCTGAGAAGTCGATTATAGCTTATATTATGGATTGCAGAACTAAAGGGGTAGAGATGCAAGCGGTTGACTTAGATATATGCAAGCATAATCGCACGCACCCCTAATACAAATATTTCTCGTCCCATTAAGGTAGTCACTATACTGAACATTGGATATAAACAATAGAATTAGTAAATCCTGAAGGAATAAACTAACAAATTTCATAGCTCATGAAAAGTCCGAGGAAACCAATTAAAACCCAACAATCAAAAACCTACCTCTGGTTGACAGACGTTTTGTATTTATGATCTTAGCGGCAAATTCTAAACCTGTTGAGAGCTGAATGCATTTTCGAACAATTGAGAATGCCCCACTGAGAATACAGAAAAACTTATCGTTATAATGTGATCAACGGACATTAAGTAAGATAAACTAACTAAATTTATTTCGAGACTTACCGCCCTACTTCTTCTTTCAAACTATACAAATCAGAAAACTTCGGGAGAACAGTAGCCATCTTCAGAGAACTAACCAAAAACGCCTCCCAATTATAGTCCAAACAAACAAGATCCAAGACCGAACATACGGTTTCAATGTTATATACCAATTACTTTTGCTTTATTGTGATACTAAGAAGTTCAAAATGGAAGAAGTAACACTGCCATACTTATGCGTCATCAACAACGGCTTAAGAGTACGAATTTCGGTGTTCATTATATAAAGATTTGAAAAACTGTGACTAGGCTTCAAAGTTATCAGCACTTTTAAGTTTAATTTAAAATTAAGACGTAGGCTCGATTGGTGGTGTGGTGTTAGCGACTCTCCAGAAGAACTAGTTTAGTAGATATTCGACACTAGCCCTACTGAACACACCACAGGCTGAAGGCTTTCGGTCAATCACTTGTATAAAATGGCGATTGGGTAAACCGTACTTTGCTTTTTCACGGCATATAGCGAACGCGATTCAAAGCATCAATCACTACTCAAATACATCGTCCCAACCCTTCATTATCGACTTTTGGTTTTACTGTTTTACGGGAAGCTTGTGTAAGGGGAGGGATCACACAATGGTCAAAGGAAGCACTTTATATCACTAATATCCTTTGGAGTCTAACTTAATGGTGTTTATGAGGGTGCTATTATTGGTTTAATTTTGCATCTATACAAGGGGTCAAATATTCTTCTTCAACTGGGCTCATTTTCCTGGACAGTACTGCTTCAATGGTTCCTTTCCTGTATGTTTTTTCCATGGAACAAATTATTATTTTCAGAGTGGTGAACCAACAGTGAGCGTGAGATTAGTCAAACGTTTGGGCACGAGTTGTTGTTTTGAAAATTTCATAACAAACGACATCCCAATTAATTGACAAAGACTATCATAAAAACGAGATCCTGATAAGTTTGTATTTTCAGACACTCAGATTTTAAAGTAGTAATTATTGGGTTCGAAATTGTAAATGTAGCTTTCGTATCGGTTCCCTTGATTTATTTGACTGGACAAAAGATTGGTGTGCTGACAACCACCATTTATTTTCAAATAATAATAAGCTAAGTGAGGCATGCCAATTCATGGGCGAAACCGAATTGACAGAAATGTTACAGAATTTACGGCAGTAAACTGGATTATTTAATTTAGGTATAATGTATGTTTTTCTATAAAAACAAAATAACAGTTGTTGATGCATAAAAAACACAATAAATGGAAGTAAACGTGGGATAGAAGGAATGGACGACGTATGTGCGCCTGTACAACGAAAAACTGATGGCTTAAAATGATATGAGAAAGATAAAGTGCTGTTTTACGGTTGAAATCACAGTTTTTAGTATATATCTTGGCGTCGTTTTACTAGTGTTCAGATAACTGCTGTGACAGGCTTCTAGTAAAGAAACCTGTTTTGAAAGTATGAAGGAAGGCATATGATGGAGTATTAAGATTTCGATACGTATTTTGTGTGTTGTATCACGATATGTATTAAAAATTGACAAAGACAGTTCGAGAATTGAATCCTTAGGTTTCGATCCTCATCATTTCAACGGAAATATTTTTGCCGCATCTATTGAAGTAGTGTCGAGTATGGCTGATACTGTTATGTGTAAAGCTTCTCAAGGAAAAAATAGGTACGATAACTTGGCGGTCGTAGTAATTATGAAGTTCAAACAGTGTGATGCTTGGTGTTTAGATAATGAGTAGCTTCCAAATCTTCAAACAGTCTCAGAAGGCTGACACAATCCAGCTTGTAGACTATCAAGGCCTGTCACCTATCTTCTCAATAAATGTTATCCTTAAGCGTCCGAAGTTTCCAATTAAGACAATATCTTGTGTCACACTTAAATAAACTAACTTTCAGATTCATCATGACTCATACATACTAACATTTAATTATCCTTCGCAGTTAACTGAAACTTTTATAGCACCACTCTAAACTGTTACTGCACAAACACTTATTGTGCAGTCAGACCTCACTGCAATAATGGTTTATTTTCTTATTCATTTTTTTTCATTTTTTCTCTTTATATTCATCTGGTGATATATGCACAATCATTTACTCATATTCCGTGTTCACAAACACGCTTATTAAACTATTTACGTATTTCGCGTTTCTTTAGTCTCAATTAGCTTATTTTCTCGCTTTCCTTCTTTGAAGTCAACTCAATGCTCCTCTCAATTACAAAGAACCTTTTTTAAATATGGCAAATATTATGCTAACATTATTATAACTTATTACTTCATTTCTGAAGAGGCCAAAAACAGTTTATTTATGACACTTATATACCCACAAGCTGTTTGTGAATAATAATTTGGCGTGTATTTGTTTATTTAACTAGCCTGTAAACCAACGATCTAAGTTGAGTATTGTAAATAATACAAGTATAATATTAACCAGCATTTTAAGAGATGACTAGTAGCCTTATATTAATGTTTGGAGTTTATCGAGTTATTTACCACCTTGAGAGTGCCAAGTATATTACTAAAAGCGCTAGATTTTGAATATATTGTCAGCTCATCCAGTTCCTTAGAATGGTTTAGATGTCTACTTAGTGATTTCTATTGAATTTTTCCCAACTTCTGGCTGCTAGCTTATTTCAAAAGGCAGAAAAGGTATGTGGGAAGTCTTCATTGGTCCTGCTCAAGTTAGTTTGTTTGTTGTTCTCGGGTCTTTTGTGTTCCCAGAGAATGAAGAGATGCTTCACAGGGTAAAGTACTTTTTGCTGCTATAATTAACTGCTGAACATTTTCAGAGGTTCTGAACTACTGATTCAAGCTTCATTCAAACATCGTTACTTGGGTCTTTTATGATAAGTTCCGTGTCATGTAATTTGATTGTATTAGTATCTTCTTACGTATCTTGTAAATTGACTATTCCAAACTTACTCGCGACATCTCTGAAAATCAATTTGTTGATTGATTGCAGTTTAGGCTTTACAAATGGTCTGGTTTTTTAGTCAATTTCACTTGCTGTTGGCCTTATTCTTCTATGAGGAAAGACAGTGATTCGACGGGACGGTTGAATGCTGTAAACTGGCTTTTAGGTTACAATGTCTGGATTCGGAAATGGATGTGGGCGTTCGGTTTAATATGAATGTTGATTAATAACACTGATGATCTGCTTACTATTATGCCTGACAAAGGTGATAGAGGGGATAAGCAAACTACCCCAGGTTGTCAAAATGAATCAGCACTTGAGTTTCCGAGGTATATTCCCAATACTCTTTCCATGACTCAGCTGACTTTCTCAGTTTTACTGGAGAAGTGAACATGGTATTATCTAGTGATAACGTACCTGATGGTACTAAGTTTAACTACCCAGTTAGACGGTGCAGTACTGCAGTTGAAAGTGTCATACGGGCCGAAACTTTTCAGTGCCAATCAAATTTCAGGGGAAAAATCTGGTAACAGAGGTTCGAAAAAATTGCACGAACATCAAAAACACGTAACTTGTTCATGAGGCTGTCAAACGTGAGGTGGAGCCTTGTGCACAACAAATTGAGTTTTGTTGTGGAAAAGGCTACTTAGCCGATAATTCGAAGAGAGCTCGTATAGAAGACATCGTCTAGGTTCCATAACTAGGACTAGCAGCTTCTTGTACGTTTTCGTCTGGTTGATACTAAGAGATTTCTATGAAAATATTGAGCTGGGACAAGTTGGTTGGTGGACTATTGAGTTTTGCTCGGTATAATGGATACACTATTCGGATTATGTAGCTCAGTTGTTTATTCCACGTTCCATAAGTTCGAGCGTGAGTAAACGGAGGTCGGGATTACATGTTGTTATAATTCTCTCTTATTACAACTCAGCTATTCCTATTGCTTAGTATTCTTGGACACCGATTCACTCGACAAGTTCCCAAATCAGAACACCGTTAAACAGGAAAGAGATTACATTCCAAATAACAGATTTAGATGGAAGTAAAAAGTACGATGAGAAAAACGTTACATGAAAATATTTTAGGGTGTTCTCCAAATATCGACTAGCGCAGTTTGGCTAATTCTTATCCAGTCATCGTGCACCAAAGCAGTCTTGCATTGAGCATGTCCCGCTAACACATATATTCTATGATTCTTCGGATACGAGGAACGTGGTGGTGTGACACGTTTGTTCGTTGGGGAGCTGTCAAGCAAATTTGTGACTGTAACTGGCAATGGTTCAATTATCTACACTAATACCTGTTACAACAAATCGTTTCGAGTCCAGCCACTCTACCAGTTCTGATGTATGCGACAGCGAATGAAGAGTTCAAATACCAAGAACAGGTTCCAAAATGGTAACGTATTATCTAAGAAAGAGGTGCTCTCAGTTTGTTCGTTTTCTTTCAAACTTTGTAGGCCATTTGGGACAGATAATACATGAAAGCCATTAGCGATATTTAACGTTAAAACGCAATCTTGCCCACTTGGCACCTTGACTTACAACCAATTTATACATGTACACCAAATAGCCTGATGGTTAGAACTTCTCAAATGAATATAAATATAAATGGCCCTGTAAGAACGGTGAACCATTAGTGTGTAAAAGCATACCCGAGTTGTAAGTGGTTCTGGATACTGGATTTAATTCTTTGCGATAAAATGTACACTTCTGTTGATCCATGTATATTATTTTAGCTGGCAAAAGTTTCTGCAAGATGTTTTGTGTCTGACATGATTCTTAGACGTACGAAAATAAAACGTTTCCTCCGCACTGTTACACAATGGTACGTCGGTTTTCGGAAGATTATATGTAAAGAAGCGCAGAAGAAATTATGGTCAAAGATACGTAAAAGGAGGCATGGATAATTTTTAAGACAAGCATTAGTTCAGAATATTTTGAATCTGAGAAGCGGGTGAAAATGGTTGAACTGAATAGTAATAAATGAAGTATATAGAATTTATGGGTTGTCGTGGTTGGAACCATGTGCGCATAAGGAAATTCTACTCTGGTATTTTGCTAAACCGTTGAAAATATTGGGACATTTCACTTGTCTCATTCTCTTTTTAGGAGCGATGACAAATAACCATTTATTGGTACCGAATATCGAA